AGAACGTGCAGGTGAACCAGAAAGTGGGCCTATTCGAGGCGCACATCCAAGCACAGAGTGCTGCCACCCTGGCGCCCCGCAGCCCGCGCCTAGGCCGGGCCCGCTCACCCTCTCCGAGCTCCATCCGCAGCAGCAGCCAGCCCCCGAAAAGGGGCCTGGCTCAGGGGCCCCCCAGCGAGGAACGGAGGACAAAATCCTGGGGGGACCAGTGTCCAGAGACTCCCGACGTGGACTCCGAGAGGAGAGGTTTCAGCTCGATCCCCTCGAAGGACAAGGAGGGAGTGGCGCTCCTCCAGGGCTGGGCCATCCGGACCGAACCAGATGCTTATAATACAGCGGCTTCGCAGAAGAGGGAGAAGGGACCTCCTGCCAGTCCCTGTGGTGACTCACCGGACCTTGCCGTGGAAATTGACAAAAGTGACACCCCTGTTTCAGAAACTTGGAGCTGTGAAGCTCCTGTATTGGAGCCTGTCGGACCAAGCTTAGGGATGGACACAGAAGTAGCAGGGCCAGTCACATCCGTAGGGCCTCACCGTCCACATGACACTGCCCTCATGGAGTGGGCCAGCGAGCCTGGGGACTCACACCCCGGGGAGGCCCTGGTGGAGCGGCAAGGGCAGTTTCTGGGCAGTGAGACAAGCCCGACCCCAGAATGGGTTGGGCAGTGTGATGGAGAACCCCGTGGGAAGGCGGGGAGAGGGACTCTGCCCTCTGGCAGCCCCTTCTCCAGGGAGCCTGAAGTCCCTGAAAAGCCGGCAAAGAACCCTGCACCTGTGCCAGGCTTGGAGCTGTCAGAGGCCCTGAGCTGCTCAGCGCTACCTGGACACCTGGGTTCTGTAGGCGCTGGGGAGGCTCAGCCTCTCCCTGACAGAGCCGGGGAAGGGTCTCCCTCCTGGGGCTTGCTTGGGGGCAGTCCCGCAGCACAGCCAGGGCCCAAGCAGGTGGAGGCCCGAGTTCCTTCTGGCAGAATGTTGGAGCCTCTGCCCTGCTGGGAACTGGGGAAAAGCCTGAATGAACCCCAGTGCTCTCCCAGGGACGGTGTGCAGCCTCGGGGCTCCAGGCCTTGGCTGCCTCCCATGGAGGAAGCTGGCCTGGCCAGGACCCCAGGCACAGGGGTACAAAAGAAGGGGACTTGGGAAAGCCAGCTGCAGGATGGAGATGCCCGCCCCCGGCCAGAGCAGCTTCCCTTGGACCAGGACAAGCCTTCCTTGAGAGAGGCCTGCAGCCCCAGCAGCTCACCTGCTATACCTGCCGTCATCATTACAGACATGGGTGCTCAGGAGGACGGCAGCTTGGAGGAGGTGCACGGAAGCCCTCGGGGCAGCCTGCCCCTGAGGAAGCTGTCCTCTTCTTCTGCCTCCTCCACGGGCTTCTCCTCGTCCTATGAGGACTCGGAAGAGGACATTTCCAGTGACCCGGAACGCACCCTAGACCCCAACGCTGCCTTTCTTCATACCCTGGACCAGCAGAAACCCAGAGTGGTAAGTCTTGCCCTGAGGTTTTTTCTTGAGCTCATCCTGCTTTTAGCAGACCTTGATGCCTCACGTGTCCTCTGGTTTTCTTACTTTCTACTCAGTGCTGAAGATTGCCCAGGGTCCTGGAGCCACCCTAAGTAGTATTTCTTTCCAGGTGTTTGCCAGGGCCCTGTGTTCTGTGGGCGAGACAGTAAATGTGAGTCACTTCTATTGCTGTTTCCATGTCCATCTTCAAAAATAAGTTTTTAAGGTACCTTCTGTAGGTCTCACCACTCTTTTTGGGAGCATAACATTTGTAAGGATCACCAAAACAGTGGACAGAGCTGCTGAGCACAGAATTTGTCTGATCACCTGAAACCCTTAATTCTGTGATTGACGGAAGCTGATGAGGATGTCATCGGATTAACTCAGCCTCTACTAATAGGGCAGAGATGGGACCCTGTGACTGGACCCTGAAGCCTGGAGATGTGGTGGTGGCTGGTCTGTTGGGTAAGCAGTGGCCAAGCCTCCACAAGGTGCAGTGTCAGGGTGCTCAGTGTAACTAAGGTGGAGTTTGCTGTGAGCCAAAGTGAAAACCCTGCTTTGGCCAGGCAGGCTGGGCCACTGCTAGCAGGATGTCACATTGGGTGAATCACCTTAGATGGTGAAGGGTGAGAGTTGGGACAGGTCCGTTTCCGCTTGGTCTTTGGGGTCATCACACTGGCATCTTGTTCTAGTGGTGCTGCTGGACAGGACTTTATTTCTGTCACATGGTTAGTCTGAGTCAGAGGCTGCTTTCACTCTCCAGAGGACCGGTGTCTTTCAGAAGGTGTAAGCACTGGGACAAGCACTTCTAAGAAAGTCTGACCTTTCTCTTAGCTTTTCCAGAGCATGGGGAGTTTCCTAGCTCTGTGGAAGGGGTTGTGCTGCCCTGAGAAAGGCTGGGTGCTCTATAGTAGCCAGGCTGTATCTTTCTCTGCAATGGGGTGCTGTATGTTTCTGCTCAGTGTCATTCACCGAGGGGTTTGAACTCTGAAGCATTCTGTCCAACTCCCACTTCAGAAATCACAGTCTGAAATTTTGAATTTCTTTTCCTGAGACTCTGCTTTCTGCTGATCTGGAGGCAAATGTGTATGCAAAATCTGGGCCCAGTAAGCCTGGCATTTTGTGGCCAGGACAGGGCCCAGGAATCTCACACCTGCCTTCAGGCATGGACACACCACTTTAGGGCGAACAGTGCGTCTGAGGGTATAGTGTGCGTGGGCCAGATTTCCTGCCCTCCTGCCCCACAGCTCTTTTCACTCCTCCCTCTGGCTTTTGAACCCCGAAGCCTGGCTGGCACACTCAGAGTTGTTTTAACTTGCTGTCCAAGTTTCCATTTGCCTTTTCTTGTGGTGGATTAGCAGCTATTAACTGGCTGGTTATCAAAACAGTTTGTACGTCCTGAGGTTTGAAAAGAGGTCTTGTCGGGAAATGACTTAAGGAGGAGATAAATATGGCAGGTGATACGTTGCCAAAGAGATGCCAGCCAGGAAACCAGAGGGATAGGGGGTGTTTCCAAGCCAGCTAACAGACCCAGAGGTAGGAATGGGAGTGACCTGTTGTCCTCTCACTTTTAAACAGGGTTTTAGACATCCACAGAATAGTCAGGAAAATTCCCTAAGGCTGACTGGGGTTCGCGTGTGCATGTGCAAGTGTGTTGGGGCTAGGGTTGGTAACCAACTTGAAATTATGGGATCCTAGGGACTTTTGGGCTTGGGTCAAGTGCTTGCTTGATAAGCAGTTGGCTTCATGTGCAGATTTTGAGCAGAAACTTTATTTGTGACACCAAAACATGTACTCTTTGCGTCAAAATCACTCGAGTCCTGGATATTTTGTCTACCGAAGGCCCTGCATCTTCGCTGATTGGGTGTGTGGCTCGGCCCTGGGCCCTGGTGTTTGACAGATAAGCCTAAGGCTGCACTCTGAGCCACTGGGGTCCCCAGGCTGAATTCTCTTCTGTCTACACTGCTACTCCGCGTGGCAGCTGGACATACACTTGCTCCCACTCACTCCTGCATGCTCAGCGTGCTCACCCCTCCCCTCACACCCTACGGCGCACCTGCCCATACACGTTCACATTCCGGCTCACACACGCACACTCATGTTCAGCGTCCCTGTCACACTGACCCATGCCAGACCAGAGAACCCGTGAATGCTGCCTCCTTCGTGGGTGCCTCGTGGTGCAGGCTGGCTGCTCTAAGGAGTGGGCGTGTGCTGGGGTGTGCTGGCAGGGCGTGGCAGCCTTCTGCTCCTACAGGTACGGACCCTGGAATTTGCTTGGAAGTAACTGTATTACACACCTAGTCTGGAATGGCTTAAATGCAGGGCTGTTCACAGGTACTGTTCCCTGTGATCTAAACAGAACTGAACTGCCCAGAGCTGATGGTGCCATCTCTCTTCTTAGAAACTAATCATCAGTCATTTACTGTCCATTCTGGAGTATCGGGGCCATTGAGACACCGGTGGAAAGTGCTATGTTAAAATATGCATGCATTTTACTTTACAAATTAGATTTTATCGATTTGCTCCACAGTTGTAGTTGGCATACAGAAACAAAACAAGACAGAACACTGCCCTATTTATGTGACAGGTTGTATAAAGGAGTATAATATGCCAAAACCTCTGCTTTGTTGGTGCTTTCCGCATTTTAAGGGTCATTGGAATTTGTTTAGTTGGATTTTTTTTTTTTTAATATTGACCCTTGTGTTGCTTTGGGGTTTTTTTAGTGAAAAAATTAACACTCATGGCACAATGTTCAAGCAGTTGAAAATGATTGTATATGGTTTTGAGAAGTGTGTAGCAGTGTTATTTCTGAGTAACTAAACCAAGTTTTAGGGGCACTTTAAAAATACATCTAGTGGTAAATAGTTTAAGTGGAAAATTCTTTCCTAGATGAGAGTGTTGAAGGCCCAGATTGTGGGGTTTCATGTGTGCTCTCTTCCGAGGATGAGGTGGCCTTCTCACTTAGGTGTGTGGAGAGGATTCTCCTGGACAAGTCTCAGCAGCTTTCAGATCTGGAAGGACCCTGGTCATGTATGGGAGATTCCAGGTGCTCCTTTAGGGATGAAGAAACCAGGACCAGAAGGCAGTGAGACCTCAGGACACACTTGTGCCCATGAGCTCTGCCTCTCTGGCCTAGTTTCTCCTTTTATAACATGCGCATAGCAGGAAGGTGATCTCATGGGGTCCACCTCATCCTAATGCTTCGTGACTAACTTAGAGATTTGATTCAAAACTTGATGTGTTCAAAGTGCACATCATGGTGTCTGGAAGGGCAGCTGGGTGTCTTTGGTGTGGACCTTGGCATGGAGGCTGAAGTGGGCACTTCAGTATTCTGCTTTGACTTGAGCCCATTGATCCATCTGCTTGTCTGCTCTCTTTACCAGAAAAGTGCTTCTTTGTAATTTCACACTGAAAAAGTACCACCATAGCAACAAATCATCCACGCAATTCCTATTTTTGTTAATAATCAGACAGCTCTTAGAGATTGTGCTGGTAGGATGCCAGAGTATTAACCTAAGAATATTGATTCTATTGACAAAAAGGGGGTCTTTGGCCCTTTGGATGTTTAAAATTTGCAAACTGAGGCTTTGCCAATTAGGAACCAAAACATCACTTCAAACACATTGTCTTAACAAAGATAAAAATATTCAGTCAGCTTAAAATGCTTTCCAATAAATAAGGAGAAAAGAAGAGGTTGATTCTCAACCTTACTCTCCATGCAGATGTTAAAGGTTTAAGGCACACTTTGCCTTTAGGTTTTACAAGAAAACATGCTAAATCAGTCAGGTGCTGCTTTAGAAAAGTGGATTTCAGGTGCTCTGAAAGCCATCTTTAGAGCTTCTGCTGCATTGGGGCTGAGTCACTCTTCTGACTGTTGGCACATGCCTGTTAAATGTAGTTGCAGATTAGATTAGTTCTCTGTAGTTTATTTATACTCCTAGGAGTATTGATAACATTGTTTAGACCTATTTTATTTTGTCAGGTTTCAGTTTAGTTATCTAGAGGTTAGAATTTTAAAGAATTTAATGGGAAAATTTTACATCTTGATAGAATAAAACCTGTAGATTTCAGATAATCAGCAAGTGATTCTGAATTAATATGAATGGTCTTCTAAACTGGGTCATGATTGCACCCTTGGTGTTAAGGGTTCTGTGGCTGTGGGTCTGGATGGGAGAAGACAGCTTGGCATCTGACTTGATGTGTGCACAGCATACTTTCAACTCCAGGACAAGTGTGCCTTGCAGTGATTTTTTTTTTCTAATACTGTGAATGTCAGAAGCATATTTTTCATTAATCAGAAGTCATTACTTAAAAATCATACTAAACCCAGATGAACTCTTTGTTAAGATGAAAAGTCCTTTAGACTGCAAACTACCTGTTTGAGATTTTGTATAATGAATTCTCCCAAGTGTTCTGTAACCCTATACTCTAGTATTAACTTAGTGAACCAAGTAATGGTCATGCCATAGGCAGTCTCAACATCACAGAGGAGAAAGACCTAGCATTTCTTTCAGGCCTGTGAGTCCAGTCCATGTGACTGCGGACAGCCTGCTTCCCTGGCCTCCTGAACCTACAGTCAATCTCCAATTAGTGTAGTTCTACCGCCAACTTTGAGTCTCACCAAGGTCCTCCCAGACACCTTCTTCCCACTAGGACCCCTTTCTTCATCCCAGCTTCATGGTGCAGTTAGAGCCCTGATTGCTTTCTCTAGGAGTAAATTCTTAAGGTTATAATTCAAGTCTCTTGAGCCGAAAGACAGTAGAGATACATGTGCTCTCAGGAAGTTAGGCCTTGGTGCTTGCCATTAAAACATAACATACACTTTTTTCTGAAGCTTCCATATTGAACATTATGTACTTCTGGGTCTAGGAGAAGTTTGGAAACTCATCTTCTCCAATATTCACATTTTATAGATGTCGAGAGCTGGACTAGAAAGTGTTCAATACAGTTGCAGGACCCATGTTTCTCTTTTTTCCTTTGAA